GATTAAAGGGTAAACTTCAGAGCATACTTAATTTTTTCTTTGGAAAAGATTCATAACTCTTTTATTCCCTCCTTATGATTAAACAAAATTTTAAAAAACAACAAATGTTTTAAACATTTTGTTGTTGTTTCAATATATATAATACCATATACTCTGAACAGATAAGTAGTATATCAAGAATATCAAGACAGACCAGTCTTGCTGGTGGACCTCAGCCTCCACAAATGTACATTTTAAGTTCACACACTTCAACCAAATGGGAGGAATAACCAACAGAGATGCATTTAACATTGATTTACATTCATTTTTATATTTGATTTTTAAATTAGCTTTAGTAATAAAAACCTTTGATCTTTCAGTTGCTCAGTTTTCATTATCTCATGTGACCTTAATACTGTTAGTTCATTTTTTACTATGACTTCACTGTCTAATCCAGCCCTCAGAGAGTAAACAGACAGAAACCATTTTTTTCTTTACTATAAAACCTTCCAGCTACACTTTCTTAAAGTTCTGTAAAGAAATAAACATGACCCAGAGTCTGTTCTTTTACTCTGAACGTCTCCTTTAAACTTGATTGTTGTCAGCAGGTACACCATACTAATCTTGACCCAGACTTTTTAGCTACCAACTCAGAGATCAAATTCCGCTGGAGGAAGTTTGGCCAAGTGGCCTAACAGATCCCCACTCTCCAGGCACCAGCCAAAGGACACTTTCCAAGCAGAGGGAAGAGACCAACAGCCATCTTAAACTGGAGGTGGAGATGGCAAAACTGAGGCTCCAATTCTGCACAAGCCCCAGGACTTGCGCAAGCAAGGAGCAGAGGATATCCTGCACATGAGAAACACAGCGGGAACAGGATTACAAGAGTTTTCTCCCAGCTACTGGTTTCCCTGCACTCACATTTCGTTGAGTGCCCCTTCAGATCACACATAATCCAGCACAGCAGGAGCCGGTGAAGCTGGGGGACCCTAAATCATGTACACATAAACACCTGCTTACACAGCTTTCTACCCTGTCAGACAACTAGAATGGCAGGTGCAGTAGGAATCAATTTTCCCTCTGGCATCTGCTGTGCCTGGCTTTCAAGCTTCATTACAGCTGATGCATTAGGAGACTGCAGAAGCAGAAAAAAGAACAGGAATCCATAAACGTTGCTCATACAAATGCTGCCGTTCCAGTGTCCTTGTCCCAGCTTCCATGTTCCAGAAATGAGAACTGATCCAAAAGGAGGTTAAGAATTGGGCACCAATTTCATCATCCTGTTCTCACTTTTGCTCCACCCTGCACACATTTATGAGTATCAAGGGAGAGGGGAAGAGATCAGGGCTGAGATCAACTTCTCCATTCAGACAAATGGAGACAGTGGGTGGGAAACGATGTGGGAGTAATGCAGAACAGCTCCTCGCGCACAAAGAAAGGAAAGGAAGAAAGCAGATGTGGAAAAGGAAGACCAAAAAGTCCAATCACATTCCTCCTTCTCAACTACTGTATAACAGCTCTGGTGGCTCCCTTAAAAAAAGCTAGATGGAAAGCCCTGCTGGCCTTTGGAAGCAGAAAACCAGCTTCCAACAACTTCTTAAAAACACTCTAACAGCATACTCAATTAAAAGAAAAAAAGGTAACCAAACCTGGGAAGCTTTATCCATACATGGTAAGCACATTACAGTACAGACAGTACTATGGGCCTTACTTGGAGAAAAGATACACAGGAGAACTAATTTCTTCCCTTTCTTGCTATAAAGCCTCCATTACTTGCAGTTACATTATCTCCCCTTCCTTTCGCTGTGCAATGGCTTTCTGTAAATTTCCATGAACTTCTTACCATCTTTAAAGACTAAGCAGCTTCCTGTACATACTTTAGTTAAAATGCCTTCTGCATAGCTAGTCATTCCTTCACTTTTCCTGACCCAATTTCAAGAATACAGCAAATGAATACACAGAATGGAAGCTGCTTTGCACTCTCGGTGGAGTTCGCTTTAGAACACTTCAGTTGTGATAATTACAAATCTGCAGTTATACGAGAAAAATTATTAAAGGTAAAGTTACTCAAACATAAAATTTGGCTCACAAATGCTTTCAATATTTACCAGAAAAATATTTGAAATCTTTAAGAGTTCTAGCATTCTTAAATCATTTCAGAGCCCTTGCTATCAAGAGCAAATAAAAGGTATGAATGCTAACTGCAGTAACAACATTACATTTTTCAAATACATTTTTAAAAATGTGTCTAGCAAGGTATCTTAAAAGCTATTCACAGTTGAGCTGGACCAGCATTATCTACATTCTCATACTTCCACAGAACACTGGAACAACCCCAGTGGCACAGCACTGCTTCAAAGACTTTAGCTGCATTGCACCAGTGAAATAGGGTTACTGTAGGCTAAGGAGAATTAAAGTTTTCGTTTACCACTTTCTGGAAACTATCGGGGTAATTCACAAATGCATACTCATAACTGAAAGCTGGGCAACTCACAAAGTAATCTGTAAATTTTACCATCATTTTGATGTAACACCAAAAAAGTTAATAGAAGCTGAGCCATGCTGATGTACTATAGGAGACTCTTAAAAATTGTTTACAGATACAAAATGCAGACGGTGCCTGTCAAAACAGCTTTTCATAGTAGTGACTTTCTTTAACACATAACAGTTTGGCTTACTGCTTTCTGTAACCAGATCCTTACTGCCATCCAGAGCTCATGCCTTCCAGAAAGTGTTTTAGACCCTCAAATTTGAGGTATGTCTCCAAAGGGGTAAATAAATTGACTGTCCAGAAACGATGAGAGTAGTATCAGGTTGCTCATCATACCTTCTGTCCTGCAATGACAACACGATCTCCCAGTTTCAGGCCAAGCGACAAAAGCATGGCCTTGCCTGTGACATGATCGTAGTTTGGAATCATGGCTTTTGAGATGTCACATGAGAGAGGCACTGCATCCAGCAATATCTGCTTGATTTCTTTTGCGCTGGCCGCTGCATCTGCCATTTCCAGTGGCATATCTACTGGATCAGGAACCACATCTGCCGGAATCTGCCCTTTGTCATTCTGTAGAAACATAAGATAGCACAGGATTTCATGTTGCGACAAGAGAAACCTGATCACACAAAGCAGTTTATGAAGTTCTTAATCCTCTTCATTACATATTTTTCCTAGAATATAAACAACTACAAAAACATCCACATTTTCAAATAAGGATGCCAAAACATCCTTAGATATACAAACTAGCATTTACAGTGTCTTATTTTCAAAAGTGCTAAGTTACCAAAATTTTTAATCTTAAGAGCATTAGTAGTACTCAAAACACATAAAAAACCACACCTGTATAAATCTGTGTACCTGAACACAGAGTTAGGAAAGTAAGCAACAATTCTGGTTCGTATTGCCAATATTGTAAAGCTAACACTTCCCAAAGAATTTATCTTTACCCAGTGCATGATTTACTCCTTGATGAGGCTTATTCCAAATGTAAGACAGAATTTAATTAATGTATGTTGCACGTACAGAATACACAAATTTGATGTCTTACATAAATACTTGAGTAAATCTGTCCAGGTGTATTTAGATACAGACTATTCCATGAGAGATGAATTAAGGACAGAGTCCTTTCCAAACACTTCCCATTCCCAGAGAGCAGTGATTGTGATTCCCCATATGTCCCATGTGACACTCGCCCTAGGCCAGAGTTGTTGGAGTACCAGCTCACCTGGAGTTAACCTTAACTCAAGGCCAAGTACGCTGTTGGGCTATCAGGCTGCTACAATGGCAAGTTCTACCTACACTTTCTTCAGCAAAGCCATTAGTATGCATCTTCGCCTGCCTGCCAATTTTCACAAAGTTTGTGGAAACATAATTATCTCCTTCTTCCAAATTAGTCTCAACTGAGCCCCTGGACTCAGAAATTACTGGAAGCTCAAACAGGGAATGACTCAGAGCAAGATCGTATTTGCTTTGTTTCCTAAAAAAAACCAGACTAAGAGCTCAACCTTCCCTGAGCCCCCTATAAATCTCCCTGTCTCAGCCCTTGAAAACCATAATCCTTACTCAGCATTTACACTCTGCTGTTGTGATATAAGCAAACTCTAGACACCGTCTCTGGTCAGAACTTTATGGCAGGACTGAAGAATTAAACACCCACCATTCCTTAAAAATCAACAGTCATTCTGTAAGTAAAAAGTCAACCTATTCAAGTCACGGTACCTTAAAAACAGGAAGTTTTTAAAAACAGGGTGTTTGTTTTGAGTTTTTAGTCATCACATTAGCGATTTTTCGGTCAGATCAGACCACCAGGTGCCCCACAAATCTTTGTGTCAACACGAGGTAGGGGGCAGAGCATGGGCATGAAGGTAAAAGCAGGCACAGTAGCACAGGATTGCTTTTTCAAGGGCAGAGCCGCCTTTTGCCAGCTCAGAATGCTTGTGCAACTACAAAGCAGTATTCCCTGTGACAACAGACTCTTAAACATACAGGTGCCGTAGAATTTGAAACGTGTATATGCACACTGAATAATGAGATAAAGAAGAAAAACAGTGTTTTTAAAGAGATCTAGACTGAATATTATTAAGAACTGTATGAACAATGGTGTTCCAGAAGATTTCACACCATCAGTGATACATAAAATAATGACTTTTGAGTACCCTTAAAACAATTCTAATGTCTCATTAAACAGAACCCCTGAATGTGAAAACAGAGAACTGAGATACTGCCTATGCTAAAGAAGAAGAAAAAAAAAATCAACCAACAAACAAAAGTCTCACAGGAAAAAAACCACAATCAAAAAACAAGATTTGTGGCTAGACACATATAGCAGCACTTTATAACTCAGGCCTATTACTTGGTTAGTAAGCAGAGCAGTTAATGTTTCTTCATTATCAGTTACTTATGGTAAGACTAAGTTTACTGCTCAGCAATACACTGCATTTCTGGAGGTGACAGACTGCACTCCTGTATTTCTGAAAAGGTCCACCACTGCCATGACAACTGTAGCAAGACACAAAGGAGTATTAAATGGAAGTTCAAGTAACAAATAGAAGAACATCTTGAAAGCTATTTGAACTAATGAACTAGACTGCGACACAAAAACACAGACTTCAACACACAAGTATGACAAAGCATACAAAATCATCCACTACGAGTTATAAATATTTTTTCTGAGGCACTACCGCTCCATGCAACACATTTTTAACTAACCAAAATCCTGGACAGACTGTTCACTTTTTCCAGGTACTTTTTTCACCTTTTGGTGAATCTACAACCCAACTCCTTACCCTAAAGGCAGGATTTGCTCCATGTTCCAGTAAACACCTGACAGCTCCTGTACATAGGTTAAATGCAGCAATATGTAAAGCTGTTCCAAAATCAAAATCACTGCAGGTGGCATCCACATCTGCAATTAAACATCACATGAGGTGCGTAAGTCTGTTACATGAACATTTTACCCTACAGATTCCTGAAGAGGACATTCATTTTTACAGCTCACGTTAACATTTATACAGAGATACCATTATTTATGTACTAAATGCATATGAGAAGTAATTCTACATACAATATCAACCTTATCTGCATCTGTTTATTCACATCATGAACCAATCTGGAAATAAGCATTTACTTTCGTTCATACTAATGACTTAACTGCAAAATTGTTGCTATTCAGGATGCCCAATCTACTGTGCTACGATTAACAAGTTAGTAACTTTGCGTTTCATGTAAATTAAAGTTTTAGAAATATTTATATTTTATTGCTTCTAGTTGTCAAATATTAAAATGAGATGTATCTTCAACCAGTTGTTTTCCTTTGTGAGCAGGTAGTGGGACAATGGAAAACGGATTATACCTCTAGTTTACATTCATTTAATTGCTAATGGCCAAGAACGAAGTAAGAGCTAGTGATTTTTATAACTTCTTTGTTTCAAAGAATTGCACTCTGAAGGGTCTTGCATGGATAGTTTGGAAAATGGAGCACTGCATTTGACTAAAATGCATTTAGCATAATATGTATTGCCATCATTTGTTCCCAATATATCTTTCAATCTGCTATGAAGTTATTACTGTTCTTGAAGATTGGAGTTTTAATGTTTATTTAGTCTTTGGCTCCTCTCCTAAACTATACAAGGGAGATGTCAGCTTAAGTCAATTATGTATATGACTTAATTAAAAATGCCAGCTGATTTAATACACAAACCAAAAGCCAACAAGTATTAGCAATAATGTTCCAATTTGAAATACTGGTGAGGAACATAAAACTTTCCACCTCAGGGCTATACAGGCTCCTAGTACTTTCCAGTATTAGGCTCTGTCCCAAAAACCACTAGCCCTTTTCATAATGTGATAAACAAGTATATCTCAACTGTATCAACATCCTTATATAGTTAATTAATATTTTGGGGGCAAATAAAACATCAACATATATAGAAGATATATAAATATATATGTCTGTATAGATATGTCAACTTTATACATACTAATAAAGACTGACTCTGAACTTTACAAAAACCAAAGATCACATTCAGGATCAAGTTTTAGAAGTTTTACAATTGCACTAATATGAATACAAGCTTAGCTATTTTAAATTCAATTGGCACACGCATGAAAAAAGACTGCATTCACATGACACAATCGTAACGACAGCTACATAGGCAGATGTACCTTTTATAGATCAAATGTCAAAAGACTATTACCAGTTTAAAACTGAGCAGAAGCTGTGTAGTTCTATACAACTACTGAAACTTCCATGTTTAATAAGGCTATCAAGTATTTTCTGTGCACATAGGAACCAATTTGCAGAAATACAATTTGCAGTAATGTCAGCTACTGAGTCAGCAACAATTGTATGTACTTCCATTTTAAAAAGCAACTGTCATATTTTTGGATTTTGTTAGACTTCTTCAGACTTGCAGGCTTCATGCCTGGAGTTTTTAAACACTGTTTTCTTACAGCGTTGTTCTAAGTCTAAGTTGGCATAGTACAGGTGACAAAAAGAAATGTATGTATAACAAATGATACCCAGAAACTAACCCCAAACTATCTAGGGAAAATTGATATGCAGGAATGGTGTGTCATTAGCAACCCATGCAGGTTACAGTCATTGTCTAATGGCACCACATAACATTTCTAATTCTTAAAACTTTAAAAATTTTTAAATATAAAACCTCTAAAAATCTAAGATCAAACTAGCTCTCTGTTCTAACAATCGAGAAGTAAATGTGTATAAAGAACTTGACTGCAGAGCATCATAAAGGAAATAGTTTAGCAGTAAATCAAAAGGAAACATCTGTGGTACTCGCTGTTTCACAATGGGTGTCTCAGAGTCAGTATAACACTGTCTTGAAAAGTTATTTATACATTAACAACCCTTTTTTCTCTCCAGTTCCATATGTATCCATCCAAGGCATATTTGCCGTCTACGTATGTCCTCCCTTCCCTGCAAACTGCCTACATCCTCCCTTCTCTGCAAACTGCCTGATGAAGTATGGAGCTAAGATTATTCTATTGATTCTGACCATCCATTGTTTTCATGTCACAGGGCAAATCTTTTTATACATTTTCTGACATTAAAAAAAAAAAAAAAAAAAGTCATCTGCTTATCCAAGAGTTGCCAACTGCCAAGGCATTTCACCAGAGTGGTTTCCTTGGAAATCTGAGCAAATTCCCACCCTTTCTGTACGCATTGCACAGGAAGAGATGAGAAAATGCAAGTGCAAACTAGGTCTAAAAGAAGACCTAATCTGCTGATGCAAATTATGGAAATCAGACTACTGAAGTGTGATGTGAACTTAACTACTGTGCAGTCTTATTTTCTTTTTTGTTACTAACTTTTGTTACTAACTTGTTACCTCTTAAGCATGTCATACAAGTAACAGTGCTGTTTAACAACTACCTCCATAATGATTCAAGATGTGGTAAGCAAGCCCTGTGTGCTCCAAAAACCTATCAGCTTTTCAAAATTTTGAGACGGAATCTTTAGCTACAACTAGCTAGAAAAGGGCATTAATCATTTTGCAAAATGGCACAATCAGAAGGATATTCAGTAGAACAAATTAACATTTGTACAATTTTAGTATTAAAATTGCTTACTGGTTTTCACATCCTGACCAAATTAGGAACAAACTGTTCTGGTTCAGAACCACTTCTGTATTTCCATTTGCATTAGTATAAATTACCAATCCTTCATGTTATCATTCCAAATAGCATTATCTATTCATGCCAAACACTAAAGTCAAACTGTTCCTTACACGTGACCTTTTAGATTGCAGAGAAGTGGGAAAAGTGAGCATGTCAAAGTTGCTTCAGTCACTAGTTGGCCACATCCCATTGTCAAATCCCCACTTCTCTTTTACCCTTCTCCCAGCATTTCAAACATACTTCTCAATGTTTAAGGAATCTTAAAAACCGTAAGAATTTACCAGAATAATTACACCTTTGGTTTTCTGCATACATTCACTTAGTCCTCAACAACTTAGAATTAACCTGTTCGCTTTCTGTTCTGTTAGATACTTGTCTACCATCTTGTACAAAGCTCAAGTTTAAAAATCAGCAATAGAAGCAGTGCATTAAACTAAAAAAAAAAAAAATAGGTTAAGAGAAAAATGAGCCAATGAGGCTGACTAAAAGAATAGGAAATTAAGACATTATTTATATATAATGGAGAAACAAGTCCCACACTTAGAAGACCAGTACACACGAACTTAGGGTTAACAGAGTTGGACAACTACATAAAACAAAAGTAACAACGTCTACCTTTTGGCTTTGCATTTTTCAAAATAACACTAATAAGTTCTGGAACATCAAAGTAGGCAGCATAATGCAAGGCATTCATATTTGTCCAGCGGCTGCGTAAACTGCTATCAGCACCCAAATCAATAAGCTGCGTTGCAAATTTTACAGCAGTTTCAACATCACCTGCAAGATAAATTTTATAAAACATGCATTAGAGATGTATTTAAGCTCAGAAAATATGCACATGCTTATGTGTAACACAATGTACATTAAACCATTAAAGCTCAGAGCAGAACAATTACTACGCCTTTCCTTTTAGGATTAGGATGCAAAAATCTTTGCCTTTTATCATAAAGGGCTGAAATCTCTGCTATAGTATATAACAACACTACATGTTTACCTCTAACGTAAATAATGTGTCACCCATCAAAACCAGGGATTTTAGTATCTGATAGAAGAAAAAAAAATTTACGCCACAATGCTGAAGTTTACGTTAAAAGATCTGCCAACACCAGAAAAGCTAACCTATGGCAGATCTCACTCAAACTTAGTTCAAATTCAGAGAACTGGGTTCGGGTCAACGAAAAAGTAGTACAACATAGAAAAGCTAATAGGAACGTTCAAACAGAGTTAAATATGCTCTTATTTCCAGTACTTATGATCATCATAATGCAAACAAAGATTATTGTTTTCTTCTGTCATGATCAGGGTGAAAGAAAGAAAGAAAAAAAAAGAAAAAAAGAAAAGAAACCAGCCAGTCACCTAAATGTTCTAGTTTCACTGATGTAAGAAAACTGTCCATAGCTTAGTTCACAGTTTGTATCTCAGTCTGAAATAGCCTTTGCTACATTAAATATATGTTTAATGTAGCCATTGTTTGCAATATCCATACCACTAACTCAACTTACTACCAACTGCCAGAGCCATAACTGCGCTACAGTTCTGTATCCTCCTTTCTGATGGCCACTAGAAGAGCCAAAACCAAGCATTAAAAATAAAATCTACTGCAAGGAAAAATTCTGTAACGGTGGGATTAGCCTTTGTGAATTAATTAGGTTTTTACATCTATAATGATGTTTCTTTACTCACCAATACCATGAGCCCCTGATTTGCAAGTGTAATGCAAGAGAGTCATGTCAGTCAGTCCATCTCTGTCATTCACATTACAACCCCTCTTAATGATCTGAAAGACCAGTAAATTTTAGCTCTGACATCAGTATTATTTAGTAAGTTATTTCAGGTATATTGACTCTTGGGTTCATTTCAATAGCTAGTAACAAAGAAGCCTGCCAGAACAGACTGTAACTGCAGAACTGAGCAACATGCACACATGCAATAAATAGTATTATACGAATATCATTAACCTTCATTGTTTACATATTTTAAAGCTTCTTTGTATTCTTACTTCTAACATACATTTCACATGTCGAAAAGTTAACTGCTTAAATGAACAACAGGAAAATTACATCATTTATGAAGTCTCTCTCCTTGTTCTCTGATCTCTCAACAATCCCTCCCTCCCCCCCCACAAAAATGCCCCCAGTTATACTACAGTAGGAAGAATCTTTACAGTACTTCCCCACCTGTATAGAAGAGCCTGTAATCCAGAAGAAGAAAAATAAGAAAGTAGAATGAAATTACTAGAAAGGAGGAGTCTTCTGAAAGCAGCCTACTGCAGGTTACAAAGAGATTTCAGTTCCTAACTCATTTTGTGCCTTGGAAACATTGCCCTTAAGGTCAGGCTTCACTGTAACTTCATATATTGCAGTTTATGATTACTGCTAAGTAGGGAACTGAAATACCAAGGTGAAGGGTCTCTAAACAACTGCTTTGAAAAGAACCATTGTTTCTACCATCTATCCAAATCTATTGGATTTTTATCCCTCATCTTTCTTGTTCCAAATGAAAGCTGACAACATGTGGAATCCAAGGCACTGCTCAGTAACTACTTGTTAAAAGGCAAAAACTGTATCTGTGTTTATGATTAGTTCTGCTTCTGAATTAATTGTTTTTATTCACTGTCAAAATAGTATTTCTGTAACACTGCAAGCATTCAAGGATCTTCATTTATACCTCACCTCGTTCCCAATAACATCAATATTCTGCTGGACTTGTGGAACCCACTGCCTTAAGATAGCAAACAATTCAGAAACCGATGTTTTGGGGTTGAAAAGTATTTCTTGGCATGCTGCATCATTGGGATCAAAGAAGGAAAACTCTGTTAAAAAAAAATAATCATTAGGTACAACTGTAAGTTTTAACATCCATCTAGCTTTTCAAACTCAGGCAAAGAATAGCAGAGAGTCACTTCACTGCTAATCACACTGGAAAATCAGAATTTTGAATTAATTTAGGAAATTTTCTTTAACATCTGGTCTATTTTTCCTTTAATACTAAGGTCTTGCTTATACTTCCGAAAAAAACTTTGAATCGGCAACCAATATACAGGTATTGCAAGACTGATTTAGGCAAGGACTAACAGATATGTGCAGTAATTATGCTAATAAGGGTTTACTCTTGCTTCAAGCTAGCCAAAGACTGCTGATCCTGAGCTGTTCCCAGGCACAGACAAGCCTCTTGATCTCTCCATGATTAAATGCGTACATGATTTCCCCATATGCTACAAAACATGTCTTTTCCTTCTTCTTTCATCACAATTTACATAAAACATACCAAAATATAAACACATGCACAAATCAGGAAGGCATTCTATTCTATTATTTTCAGATATTTCGTGCATGTATCAATCCCAGCTGGTAGCAGCTGCAGAAAACATCTTTAAAATTTAAGCCACCAAGATCAGAAAACAGAATATGTATTTTTAAGATTTTAGGCCTCATGTTGCTTCAGGCAACCCAAAGCAGAGGTGTAAAAACCACCTTCTATTGAAGTATGGTATTTCATGTTACTTACAGGTGTATGCATGTATACACACATACTGTATTTTAAATTTGTGGAATTTCTTCCAATTCTGGAAAATTATATGAAAGAATCTGGATAGCAATGGCTATCAGGAGAAGGAATGGAAGCAGAACCTATTCTCATCAGCAAATGACTAAATCATGGAAAACACTGAACTTTTACCCCCCCTGCAGCTATCAGGGAGTTGTCTTTTTAAAAGGTTTCAAATAAATGTAAATGTCAGCTTGCATCAATCGCAGATACGAGGCTCTCGGAACGGACATATAGGTTAAGTAAAACAGAGCATCAGCCACCTGGGTGTACGACGTGGTATAAACTACCTCTGGATGAATCATCATAACCTTTCCAGAAAAAGAGCATACCATGCTTCTAGATTGGATTAACAGATGAATAGCCAGGAAGCGAGCTCCGTATGTTTATCTAGAGTTCCTTTAACAGCATTGCCTTGACTCAACAAGAATGAAAAAGGAGGACTTCACTGATATTTAGCATGAATTTTTATTTCCACCTAGCATATTAAAAAAAGCACCTCCCTTATCTCCCAGCACTATGCGAAGTGTGCTTCTTACCTACATCCCATGCGTTGACCCAGATCTACTGATTTATCTACTAATATTTAACTTCTGCATAAACCACAGCTGATTTCATCTTGAAAACTATGAAGCAAATGGACAACTAGCCAACAAGATTAATAATCTTACACAACACGCACGATTCCTACTCTACCTGGAAGCTTTCTAGCTACTAACCTGAACCAAATTATATTTCAAAAATCAAGTCTAACAGACTGTTACAATCAGCATGCTAAGGTAAAAACCTGAAAATATATTAAGTATTACTAACAACCATCATAAGTGCTTAACAGGTGATCAACTGTAGTGTTTACAAACCAAAGAAATGTTACAGAAAATCTGTTAAAACAAGAAGTTCCATGAAAGCATGACAATGGCATCTAGGTATTTTAAAACATTACTTTCTCCACCTCTATCTTTCCCAGGCATTGATGGTGCTCAACTATATTAAGCAAAAATAAATGCACTTAATGTAATGACCAAGAATCTTTGCCTGTTGTGGTTTAACCTTCTTTACCTCGACGCAGTAATATCACTGTTACACAGGTGACAGCAACCTCCTATAAAAGGAATTTCTTTTATTCAATGAGTAGGCATAGACTGAGGAGGACAGATAGTAGTGATATTGTAGTGTTATTAGAAGATATCACAACACAACTATGTTTAAAGGACAAATGGAAAATTTTTCTAAGGGATAAGAAAGCAGAATGGAATAAATCATGGCAGTACTTAACAGTAGAATAGAGCAGACAAGTTATGAGAACAGGGTTTAACCATGTAGAGAAGCATGTTTATGTACTATAAACATATAGTATGGAACTGCTACATTTCCAACCTGTGCTAACTCATCAAATGTGTCTCAAGAATGCTGAGTCTGTCAAAGACAGAACATCACATTATATGTATTTATTTTTCCTGAACACAGTTGATTGCTGTAATCAATGTATGGGAAAAACAGAGGTGGAAACAGCATATTTTAAGATATATAGATGCTGTTAACATCATCTGCAATATTCAAAGGCATTGTAATTGTAGCTAGCTATGAAAATCTTTACCTACAGTGATGTAATAATGTATTATATATCCTGGTTTAAATATTATCATTATTCATACATGTGAAGACAATTCAACTTTATTTCAAAAGCCTATCACTGATACTTGCTATAATTTTCTGTGAACACTCATTTCACAGTCCTTACCACTACAAACATCTACACTTCCACAGAAATACCCTGTGTACCGTATTGTTCGCATACTGAAAGCATGAGAAAAAGCATAACTATAGAGGTTTTAAATGTGATGTAGATGCTTAACTACATTTAATTACTGCAATTTTACATGTTAACACACTATCCAGTTCTACGAGATGTAAAAAACCTGCAAACATCTGACCACACACACAGAAGAAACAGTAAGAAGGAAAATATAATTTAAAATGTATGCAATAAGTAGAAAAAGCATGGGCCTTCATATTTCATTTCTTTTAAAAAGTAATAGAGAATTCATTTGTCATGGTATAGCCCCAGCCAGCAGCTGAGCACCACACAGCCGTTTGCTCACCCCTCCCCCTCTAGTGGGATGAGAAAAAGAATCAGAAGAAAAAGGTAAAACTCATGGGTTGGGATAAGGACATTTTACTGAGACAGCAAAGGGAGAAGGAAGTAACACCACCACTACTAATAAAAGAATATAAAACGCAGGTGATACAACAACTGGCACAGGCTGGTTTTTTGGTTCAGCTGCAGTGCCTGTTGCTGGGGTTGGAGTAGCCACGGTTCCGGTTACTCTGCTTTCCCTCTCTTCCCCTGGGGGTGCTGCCTACTATCAAGCAGTGTTTGGTAGACAGTGGCCAGGGCCCAGCACAGTGCTGTAAGTTGTGCCTCTTTGGAATAGCCACAGCATTTTCCTTGCAAATATTCTATCACTTTATCGGAGTCCTGTAGTTATTCAGGAGGGAAGTTCCAAACCACTGGAGGGGAGAAGCTCTCTAGATACCTACCCATGTTTTCTCACATGCCACACCACCCCTGACTTTTCAGCCCCAGGATAGTCCTTTGGGTGATATTCTTAAAACAATTTTTTGTAAGCCTAAACAAGATCTGAAACACATTCAGGAGACTTAGCAATAGGAACATGCATGCTTGAACATCTCAAGGATACTCAAAATTCTCAAAAGTGGCTGTACCTAGCCTTAAGGAAAAAAGGTAGGTAAAAGAGCACGAGAAAATATCCCCCTCCATCTTCCTCATAGATTGGCTGCAATTATTAATAAATTCTGAGAGATGTTGTCCGAGATACAGGCATGACAGCTACACCACATGCAAATATCAGCTTAACCTCATGATATGACCTCATCACTGGTCATAAGTTGGTATTACACTGTACAGCAAAACGAGAATCCGGACCCCTCTCCCAGAGGTGATAGTGCAGCAGAAAATACATACAGCAAGTAGAGATTTACCTAACACAACCACGTGAACAAACAAAACACCACTGTGACCAGCAACTATTTAACTAATATAATAAATGCATATAACAACTTTGTTTTAACACACTCTGGTCAGATCTGTCCTTATCTCAACCCCCTGTGCCCCACGTTGGGCGACACAAAGGACTGTCGTGGCTTAGCCCCAGCCAGCAGCTGAGCACCACGCGGCTGCGCGCGTCTCTTCGCTCACGCCCCGCCCCCCCCCCCGCCTCCCCCGGTGGGATGGGGAGGAGAATCAAAAGAAAAAGGTAAAATTGGTGGGTTGGGACAAGGACCGTTTACTGGGACAGCAAAGGAAGAAGAAAATAACAACAACAATACTTATACTTACAAAGTGATACACAATGCAATTTGCTCACCACCCAGAACCCAATGCCCAGCCCTTCCAGAGCAGCGACCCATCCTCCCTGGCCAGCTCTCCCCTTTATATCCAGAGCATGACATCATACGGTATGGAACACCCCTTTGGCTAGTTTGGGTCAGCTGTCCTGGCTGTGTCCCCTCCCAGTTTCTTGTGATAATTAACTTTATCCCAGCTGAAAACCAGGACACATTTAACCAGCAGTAAACTTTTTCTGAAAAGAAGGAATAAATTAAGAACTGATAGCTTTTCTTAAAAATTATTATTCAAATATATTCTCTGCTGATCACAAATTAATTTTCTGTTCAAAGTACATACCACAGTCTGAAGGCATTGGTGCTGCAGCAACAGAAAAAGTAACAGAAGTTGCAGAGTTTGGGAGTAAGAGTCGTTCTCCTTCAACGAGGGAATCTCCTTCTAAGGAAGGTTCTGGGAGATCCTCTATGGTCATCTTCTAGAAAGCCACTTTAGGAGGAAAAAAATGAATAAATAACCCCCTTAGAAATACTTTAGATTAATTCTATCATATTAAGATATAATGTGCAATGAGACTAAAATCTTTCATTTTTGCAAACACAGATTATTACTACCATTACATTCTCACAAACTAATACAGTTAATTAGTGAAAGCTAGTAGAGTATGGTGTCAAGAATATGCAACTTCCAGTTTTGACTTAATCACTAAACTTGCCTATAAACATTGCCTTGTAATGTAATACATGATATTTCTCCCCAGTTTTCCACTTGAGCAGCAATGAAAATAACGCTATAATGAGGAAGCACATGACAATGATGAATGGATTAGTATGTTATACAGCTTTATGAAAATGTTAAGCATCAAGTACCTTTCCTCATACTCTGCATGCATATTCCTTTCCTTCACCATAAGCAAGCATGTGCTACCAGCTACCACTTTCTCCTCTTTTAAAATTCTGAGCACTTTAATCTTCCCTCACAAAGCTGCAGACAATTCATCATCAAGTGATTCACTCCTGGACTCACGATTCCGTATCAGCTCCTTTCCCAGCTTCTCCCCCCTATGTTTTAAAATAGCATACTTACCACCTCCACTCTGATGTTGTTTCCAGTCAACTTTTCAGAAAGTTGGCCCTAGAGCAACTTAGGAGAGAAAAGAAAGATTAAAGGGCTGTATGGTTATAGCAACATTTTCTAACAACCAGGTCAAGTTACATTCTAGCTACGGTTCACTTGCTAAGATCAGAGGAGAGCTGGTTACCACTTCTAAGACATCTAGTCAGGTAAATTCAGTAACAAATAACAAAAAACATTATTCTTAATAGAAACAGGCATTATTGCCCTATCAGAGACTACCTCTTACACTTGAAAAACTGAAATCCTGCATCTTGAATTTTCATGGTTAAATACTCAGGGTAGAAGCAGTGCTTCTACTAGACAACCTAGATTTTTATTCTAGAGATTGCTATACAGTGTTCTTTACTCAGTAATTTGTTTAGCCAGTTTGCTTGACAGAAATAATTTATGGAGCTTTAAGCCATGTTTGGTTTTATTACGTTTAATCTATACACATGAGTAAACAAGAAAAATAAAGACGTAGTCTGTTTTTGAGACTTCTTTTGGGTTTTGTATCCTACATACAACAACCTATGTCAATAGATTTATTCTAATATTTTCCCAAATAAGTTTGTCACACTATTTGGGAACCTCACATAACCTACATTCTAATACAAGAAGCATTTTAGCAGTGGATTACAGATGCTAATCTTGAAGTAAATACATGAAAACCTCTTCTTCTTGCACACCATCCACAATTGACCCTGTCCTCAACTTGGAAAAAAGAGATCCAGATGAAAAAAGCTCATTTTTTTCCAACTAGTTTATTTCCTCAGTCTTATGCAGCTGTACAAATGCATGTGCTGGCAAAAAGATCAAGGAGGAGGCCACTGGGAAGGGCAGGACTGTTTCTTCCCACAGCATTATCAAATTGCATTGGCTTAAGCATTCTTAGCTTTAACAAGGCCAAAAATATCATTAATTATTTCAATTATTATTTTCACCCAGCAAGAAAGTTAGAGTTTACATTTTTAATGACTTTATAGTCATTGTAAACATGACACCAATAACTTTCTTGCATGAGGGACTAGAAAGTCTCTTAAGCTGCAAGTCACTAACTAAATCTCTTTTATAGGGCAATAGTGAAATAAATTTGCTACCATCTGTGAAGAGGCTACAGCAAAACAAAGCAAAGCTTTGTACAACACATGAATACACAACAGTTTTTCACAGGTAGCACATCAAACACTCTCACAAAACACACAAAGGAACAAGTAATATGCATGCGTGTAAAAGACATGACAGCTGAACCTGTTAAATTAGAAAATGACGGAAAGGAATTATAAGCTTTTTACACAGCGCTGCCTGTACAACACAGGAAACAAAAGAAACACAATGAAAAGTAGCCAGACCTGACTGAGCAGATGGTAACAGGAAGAGATGAGATTTGTAGAGTACGATGACAAAAGTTGCTGGAACTAGAAATCAACAGAGACATTTGAAAATTAATACAAAAAAAGACTGTTTATTGCACACAGAAAAGGACACTGAACAGAACAGAATCTGTGCATTTGCAAGTATCCAGGGCATCTTTTACTCTGAGGGGCCAGACAGGGAGAATACAATCTGTCACACAAGTGAAACGAATTCAGCACACAAACTACCAAAGCACAGCCGGCAGGGAAACAACCCATGCTGCTGGGTAGGCAATATGAATACCCAAGTGCTACATTGCACGTACCGATCCAACTCCGTAAAGAACGGCTTCGCACGTTTACGCTAGTGCCAACACCCCCTGAACTAAGCATGCACATCCTTACACTGTGGCGTTTTAATTTGGATCTAGAAGTACATTACCATGTTATGACACAGTACTGAACCATGCAATGTCAAGGCAACAACATGTTCTGCACCCATGACTACCTCCAGAGACTGCTAGCTCAAGTAATAAGAACATCACAACCAGTTAACGTCACACACGCATACCTGGAAAGGCAAAAGAAAAGCAAAAGGTTGAAAACTATTTCAAAGAAAGGGAAAAGACAAACAGATACTGTCCTCGTAATGACTTCTGTTCTGAGCAAAAACACAACTGCCTGAGGTATTAATAATATCCAAGGCATACAGACTCAGATGGGAAGTCCTCGTGAAATGGAATGGAAGGTCTTCCAGAAAAGCAATAATTGCCCTACATTAGTAAGATGAGTTTAGACAGACGGAAAGAAACAGTTAGAGAAACTCAATGAAAGAAAGGACAGAATTTTCCTGTTCACAGCATTGCCAAACTTCCACTAAGTGTAGTTTAGCACGGTAGAGTATCATACTTACTATTTACCAGCCATACATTCTTCTAACCAAATTAAATCTGAAACAGAAAAATAGAAATATCATTGGGAAAAAAAAATAAGAAAACTTGGAGTCATCAGATGCACGCACACATTTCTGTTGACAAGACTGAAGAGCAACTACAGGTTTCCTGATGTCCCCATGTTACAGAGAAGTGCATGGTACTTCCGCATATTGGGGGAAAAAAAAAATTACATAGCACAGGATCCAACTTTTTCACATACTTCAGATTTTGTAATTTGCAACTTGTGTTAAAGCACAAAGTTTTCCTGCAAGTGCTACAAAAAAACCTGCCAAATGCTAAAGCACTTCAAGTGATGAAATACAATTGTACTAGGGCTTTGATAGCAGAACTTGTCACAAATATGATGCTATTTTTGACACTAACCATGCATAATGGACTACTTGTCATGTATTTATATGTGCTCAAGAAGAAAAATGTTCAGAGAACAATCCTCTTGCACATACACTATCTGATTACCCCATAAGATTCAGACCACAAGTTGCAGACATGTTATGTGTATATAGGTACACTCCAAACTGGTTTTTCAACCGGTGTGCGGGGCCCTCTTGCAACACGGCACTTGGCTTTGAGACGCTGGAAGTTTGAGAGTTCAGGTTTCAGAGCTGCCCAGGTTGGCTCTGCTCCTTCAGCGCTTCCTGCGTTGCCTCCCCCAGCAGAAAGCCAGGCAC